GCACAGACAACCCCGTGACAATATGCGTTTTGTAACGCTGTTACACAGCACAAAACGCATAATAAATGGCAGTGAAGGCAAACCAAAATTGAAAATGATCCAAGAAAAGCAAATTTTTTTGCTGGAACACCATAAGTGAGCCATTAAAATAGTATGAGATATGCATCGTGCTTGCACCCTCTCCTCCTCATGCCGGTCCCGTTCCGTGCCTTCATCCTCGCTGCACTTTCTGAGCGCGTGCCCTTTGGCTTTTCACTTCGCATCTTCAGAACAGTCTTGTCCTTCACTTCAGAACTTTGTGAATATTGTTAGACAGAGGGCTGTATCCTGTTCATCGTTCCGCGTTCTTGCAGCTACGGGGTTTTCTTCGTTCGCCGTTGCCAGTGATATCCCGGGAAACTGTGCCGATCCCATTATCCCAGCCGTTCCGGATAATAGCAAATTGTATGCCTCTTCTCTGAGGCTGTGTATTTTTCGGATGATTTCTCGTTCTGGAATGCGTTCCGCACTGCCTGTTTGATTTAGAGCCGGTCTGGTGATTCCGGATGCGCACCAGTCCGTTTCTCTTTTTTTGGGCTTACCGGAGCTGCTTCTGGCAAGTTCTCATAAAACAGCACTTATATCAGAACTACCGCTGGCCGCGTCAGCGTCACCGTGTTATACGCGCACATCGCCCTCTGAGCTTGCTTCGCAAGCATTTTCCCGAACAGAGAGTCGTCGATAGTCGTGGCAACAGTTGCTCGCTGTTGGCAAATTGCTTTAGCAACAGCGACCACTCACTGCGATTCTGTTCACGGTTTCCGGTCACTCGGGCTCACCCTCCATCAAAAGTGAATTATTAAAAAGGCTTGAGCTTACAAGTTTCTTTGTGGATATTCAAGCTCACAGAGGTAAAACAAAGCATACATCTGAAGCAACTGCTAAAAGCCCGATCAGCTCGGCTCGGCTAGGTCATGAAGCGAGTTACAGTGACTGAGTGGTTGAGCGGACGGAGGGCTAGAGGAGGGAGAGGGGAGGGGGAGGGGGGAGGGAGGAGAAGAGTAGTGGTTTGGGTCCAGAAGATTCCAGTGGAGGGAAGGGGATGGGAATATTGATTAGAAAGGAGTTGAGGCGCTGCTTGGAGGTAGGGACTGGGAACAGGGACGGGTTTGTGGAAGGAGATATGTTTATGCGGTAAGTGAAGTTAATAAAATTTTGGGCGTCACCTGATTACCCAGTAAGTATTTCCCCATAGAAAGTGCAAATGCGGAGTCTTCGCTGAGATGTTTGCGCTGGTTGTTAGCATTGAGTGGCAGCAGTCGGGATGGGCACTTGTTGTTGTTCACTGGTATGAAAACCGGCCGGTTTTTAATGGTTTCCCGGGGGGAGGGGGGATTTTGACAAGTTCTTTTTAAGCAAGCATAAGTTGACTTTCTTACTCGGCGCTTTGTTCTCGTGGACTGTTCAGGTGTTGTTTCAGGTCGGAAAGTCCCAGAAGGTGAACTGTGTGCGGTTTGTTCGGATCTCGCCACTGGCTATCATTATGGTGTGGCGAGCTGTAATGGATGGTTCGTTTTACCGCCTGTTTGCTTTTTCTTTTGAGAGTTTTTGCATTGTTTCGATTCTGTTTCTTTTTATGGGGCATGAATATGTACCCAATCAGATATTGTTCTTCTCTGCCGGTTACCTGTTTTTTTTCCTGGCGGGCGAGTGGAGGAGGGGAGTTATCGGTGTTTCGGTACATTCGTTTCTGTGCTTGGCTTTTGGTGCACTGCCTATATAGGTGCCTTCTAGCAAAATACATCTCCTTGTCACTGTTGCTTCTTGTTGGGTTATAACGTGAAGACTTGGGGAGGGGGACTTCTTTGCTTTTGCTGCTAAATTCGTGTAGCGTTTCCGGTAACTTCTACATTTCTAGTATACTGCATTCGTGTTTCTTAGCTGGTCACTTGCTGTTTTAGCTGCGTCTCGTGTATTGGTCAGTTTTCTTATTTTTTTTTCGCATAAATGATTTTCACTTCCCTCTCCCTCACCACCCATCACTCCTCGGCGTTTGTTTTTAATTGTTCATGGGCTATTCTTGATTGCTGCTTCTCATTTCGGATATGTTTGAAATTTGTGAATTTTCTCAGCTCTTAAAATGGGTATTTTTTTTTTCTTCACTGTATTTGTTTTGTTACTGGATACCTAGCATCAAGTACTGCTGAGAGGCTTAACAGAACTCGATCAGTGAAACTGAATGAGCTTAGTGTATTGGGACTCATAGGCACATTTTTCTTGTGCCTCTGTCTTTTTTCCTTTTTTTTTTTTGTAATTTACGAACGAAATTTTTAGCGCGTACAATAACCCCGTATTTTCAGTAAGACATTTTTCCGTCGTACGATTGTGTCAGAACATACCTTTGTATGTCAGTATCAAGGAAACTGCGATGTTAACAAAAGTAAGCGTTTTTGTTTTGCTGGTTTTGCCTTTCTCTGAATCAACTCTGTTTTAACTGGCTCTGTTTTCTGAAAATATTCCCGTTGCATTGTTTCGCTTTTTAGCATTAGGCAACAGATGTGCGAAATTGTTTGAAATTAGTTCTTTGATTTTTCCGCTTCAGAACTGTAATCTCTTCTGTCCAACGGCTTTCCCGTTGTATAGTAGTGGTTTAACAGCGCCAACGCGCTTTCGTCTCCGTTAGCTGTGCGTTCGTAATTGTAGTTTATCGATAGAGAAATCGAACAATTCAGCGATTTGCTGATGTATTTTGATAACCAAATTAGTGCTGTCGCGTTCCACGTCTTAAAGCTTTTTCTTCTCTCAGAAATTCCTGTTAGATCCTACGCAGTTGTTTAGCCGTTTCAGATACAGGTGTTGGCTGTAAAAGTGTCCTTGTTGAAATCGTAACAAATCCTTTCGCCTCGCAAAAATTGATGTTAAATGCTTCTGAAAGAGGATGGAGCTACGGAGATGTGTCGCTACATGTAAAAGTAATATGAAAGTGGAGACTGTACAACACGTTCAATAGTTACGTGTCTCAGCTCAGCACCCATAAGTGAACCTCGTCAGCACTACAATTATAATTAAACGGTTGTGGGCTTCTGATTTTTTTTTTGTTCAGCATTACTTACAGTTAAATTACTTTTAGACATTCGCTGTGCCTGTCGGCATTGTCGTTTCAACAAATGTGTTGCTGTGGGAATGGATGCGAAAGGTTGTTTTCCTGTTCATAATGATGCACAGTTTGGGATTTGTTCAGTAGAGGAGGGGGGAGGGGGGAGGTTTATACGTTTCTTTTGAGCCAAACATTCTGCCTGGATGCACTTATTTGTTGGGAGTTTTAAGTCAGACAGTTCTGCGAGTTAAACATTACGCGAGAAAATCTTCCAGGAGAAGTTAAACTTTCTACAGGATGCAAATTTGGTTTCCCCCCTGAAAGTTTTATGCAAAAAAATGCTGTAATCTGTGGGACTGTTATGATATGTGGAACTGACGAATTTTGGTGCTCAGGCTTGGGCCACTGTGCGAGCTGGCCGCAGGAGAACTCGTCTCTCTGTGATTTGTTTCGGTGGGAAATTTTGTACTAACACACCTAGCAAAACGTGCTGTCAAACTACTTTCCAGTTTACTCCTCAAGCAACCTCTAGCCAGCAGTGCTAAGAGGTGGTTGTTGCCGACACGGGGCCATTACTCATGCTGGCTTCACGACTTCCTACCTTCAACAGCGGGCTACAGTGGAGTTTTTATTCTTTGGATATTTGAAAACACTGACAGTCTGTTACTGGTTCGTTAGGTGATTTCTCACGTGCCTGGACCGACTCGGTATTTTTATAGCAATTCAAAATGATCGCGATCGAATCGGGCCAACCAAGAAAATGAAAATGAATAATCAGTGTTCGGAGGATGATTGCGCCATCCAGATTCGTTCATCAGAGGAAAGGGTAATTTTCTGTTTTGTGATTTTTCTCATCATTATTGTTGGAATCCGTTGCTTCGCTCTGTTATGATTAACTTTCTTCAACCTCTCATGATTGATCTGCTCCAGTCATACATCACGTAGTCATGCCCTGCGCAAAACACTTCACTCGAACTTTGTGGGGATCCGCAGCATTTAGACGACATTTTATTAATTTAAGGCACTTGTTTCTCGCTTGCATTCAGTCGGCAGTGAATAAACCATGTAAAACAGAAGGCTTAGCCCGGTGCTTCGATTAGCCTTCGCTTCATCACAGCGCATCTCCCGCTTGTACCGTGAAAACGTGCAGTTGCTACGGCCAAAGCTGCATCACGTAGGGAGTTTTTAGTTTTCCGTGAACGAAATCCTGTATGTATCATATTTTGCTTGGCGCTCCTATTGTCTCTCATTTCCTTTGCTCTCAGCGCTGACGACCGTTGTCTGAGAAATGCGCAGTAGAAGTTTGATTGTTTATACAAGAATTTTTTTAAGGCGCTAAACTTCATTCTGAAACATCGCAAGTATCGGACTTTAGGACGGGTTTGCGCCGTCCAAGGAACGATATAAGGAAGAAAGTTTGGCCATGATTTTTTTAAATGACTGTTGAATTGCTGGCAGTATTTGGTGATGTGTAAAATATTGAACTGCAGTTGGTGGAGCATCTGTTGGCGATTGAAAAATTGTGCATGAGGTTACGCCAATGTGTCCTTCCGGAAATCAGTGGACTGAAAGAAGCGGTCTTTGAGCCATCTCTTGTCAACGAAGTCAATAATTTGAAAATTGACGTAAGTTCATTATTTTTTTTTTTTTTTTTTCATTCATTTTTGCCGTCCTATAATTTCAAGCTAGTACAAGTAAATAAATTTCTAAAATAGAAAATGACGCAAATTTTTAGACGTCCTTTTTTTCTTGTGGTTTATTTACTTATTATCAACCCACTTAATAGAAC